GAGGAATGATAAATATAAAGTACACAGGCGCACACACTATCGAGGAATGCGACGAGGAACGTATACGCGTAGGAAAAAAAATAATAATAATAAAATCCAGAGAGGCTTATTGTTGTCGGCGGCGGCGGCAACGACTCCGACGATGGAACGAGACACGAGGGCGGTCGCGGAACGTTTGTGAGCAGCTCCTCGCGTGGCCTTTCTCCGTTACTACACAGCCGTACGGCACCTTATAGCCGTCCGCCGTCTTCCTAACGTACTGCAACTATTATCATTATCGTTATTATCATTGCTGTTGTTGTTGTTACACACGGTTTACCACCGAAACGCACACGGACGCGCGCGTGCACGTATATTGTACGCTGACGCACACGTAAGTTTGCGTAAACCGAAGTGATCCGGTGCGCGTGTGCGTGTGTTTGCGCGCGCGCGTGTGTGTGTGGCGCGAGCCCCCAAACCTGTTGAGGAGGACGAGAAGAGACTAGACGACGGCGATGATGCCGTGGGAACCGGTCTCGGCTCAGATCCCCATTGTGTGCATCTTATTCATGTACAGGGTGATCGGAATGTACACGCGTAATGTTATTATTATTATTATTATTATTATATACACCGTGCCCGTTTTTTATACCTATACTTATATAGGTGTACATACGCAGTACATTATAATATACCGTCTATTATGACATTATGCACGCGCACGCACGAAATAGCGTGTGTGTGTGTGTGGATATACAGAGAAATCTAATGATGAGCTTGGAACTATTCCGGTTTTTATATTTATAAAATATAAATACGCTTGTGTATGCCGATATAAATATAGCATAATATATTTCCTAGATAACATGTGGCGCAAAGGTATATTCGTAGGTACGCACAACACGCAAGATTCGTTTTTTTCTTCTCAGCGAAACAGAAAATAATATTATAATATTACACGCGACGGGTGTGCACAGATTTGTTGTCGACGGTTTGATGTTGTCTATTTCGTACTTGTTTACTCAATATCAGACTCTGTTTTACCAACTGCGTGCACTCAGAAAAATGAACAATGTTAGATTAAAAATACAAACAGTTTAGAAAAAAAAAAAATTTTATTTGAATACTTCATTATAAAATTTAATCAGACGTACAGAAAAATTATCATATGCTCGTGTATTAAATCATTTTGTTTTAACGATAACATTTTAATTATATTAATTTATTTATTTACTCATAACATACATCAATAAAAAATATACCTACATTTTATTTTATTATTGAAGGAAGAAAAGAGGAGATTTGGTACTTAATAATTCTTAAAAAACTTAATGTTTTCAAATCAAATATAAACAAAATTAACAATCATTTCCTTACTTTCTATTCTAAAAACTTGTTAATAATATTATCAAAATTTAGTTGTGTTGTGATATCACTTTTAATTGATAATATTTCTAAAGCGTCTAAATTATTTTAATCTAATGTAGATTGCAATAAATTTTTTATTCTATTCAATTATGGGTATGATCTTTTACCAGAGCAATTTGTAACAGCCATTGTAAAAAAAATTGAAAATAAGCTTCCACATTTTGAAATGCATGGGTTATTTGCATATTTTTAACACATTTTTTTTATATTTGATGAGAAGATATTAATCTATGAAATTAAAACCATTCTTCTATAAAATGATCGGGATCGAAATCTATTAAATTCTCATACATTGATTTAGTTTTAAACTTAATTTACCTATATCTGAATTTTCTTTAAATAGAAATCTAAATTTTTCCTCTGTTTCATTGTTCTAAGGTATAAATCCATCATTAATTACAAAATTAATAGTACTAATAAACTTCACTCTTGGATCTTATTGTCTTTATTTTGAATCAGTATCACATAAATGTCTACTTTTGTACCTTTTTTTTTTTTTAACTTAGACTTCAATATTTTTGTTTAAAAGTTAGGTATATTCGCTTTCATATTCATCAAAATGTTCCCGGACATATTGCACGAAATCTATGAAAGATTTTTTCAAAGGCACTATTGAAAATAAGTGTTCTGTTGAACTTTCACTAGAGGTAATTTTAATAACTATTATTGAATTATTCATTATACCTATTTATATCGTGGCATTGTGAATTATCGAGTACAGATAAGGCTTTAACAGTGTCATATGATTATACATAATAAAAGAAAATATAAATAAGTGTATATTATAACGTCTTTATTAATCAGCCATAACTTTATTTTTCCTAAATTTAAATTTAAAGGTATAAAACTAATTGTATTTGTTTTTTGTCGGTAGGCCCAATGCAAATGTCATATTTGCCCTTGCATAAATATAGTTCTGCTTGAACATATATTCTTGTCCATTATTTTTATTATTTTGTGTATACATTTGTAATTTATTGATGGGGAAACGGGTAACTCTAAAAGTATAGATGATTTTTGGCCTATGTCCGTCAGACTACTTTAGATACTTTAGATTCTGGCTTCGTTCTAGAATATTAAAATTGCTAACAGTAAATACAACTAACAATTAATTGTCAACAAAACAATATATTTTACGTAAATGTTTACACCGAGCGAACTCAACATAATACGTAAACCATACATTATAATATGTGCATATATATGTAATATATTTTATCATACTGTGTCTAAATAGCAATCATCTCATGTGTGATTCCGCGATGTTTTTGTTTTAAATCATATTTTTCACTGCTATTGCCCATCACCGGAGAATATTAGTTTCCCATATTTCGTTATGATTATATACACGATCAGCCCCACATCACGCGATCACGCCAATCAACCCTACACCGCTCATCAACAACCCACAGAACGACGTATGAAATTGCTCTGCCCGAAGACCGTAATAAATACGAATCTAATTGTACGATTTGTTCGGTTTTGTAATGAAGTCAACACGTGTAAATACCTAATTTTCATAAAATATATAAGAGCGTGCATTATATGTATATTGTATAATAATATGGCATCTTTATGTATTTAATCGTGAAGGCTCGGTTTTTCAAAGTTAAATTTGTATATTGTAACATTAAATTAATAAAAGTGCAAAAGTAAAATTAATCAAACATCAATAATAAAACAATATTAAAATTACAATGTGAAAAATAAATCTATAAAAGTATCATATATGTATGTTAATTTATCAAGAAGTATTTGCTGTAATACATGTTTTTTCATTAAAAAGAAATAATATAGAAATGCATACGTAAATTGTCATAAGTAAGTCTTATTGTCATAGTACTATCTTATTGAAGTCCAATAAATGATGATTCATTTTTAAATTAAAATAACACATTTGAATTTTAAATTCTACATCCTGAAATTAGATTATGTGTATGTATGTAATATGCCTATTGTTTAAAAAATACTATGAACACGAGCTTTAAAGTTATATTAAGTAACTATGCAAAAAAAAAAATGATTAATATTCTCGTTTGTAAATTTGTACTGTAAACATTTTAGTGCATTTATATTGATTTAAAATCAACAGTGGTGTTTAAATTAAATGAAAATATTAAATAAAATTTAAATACAAAGGATAATAGATTACCATATACCTTATTTAAATTAAATTTATTTTGTTTCACGAAGAAGGAAATTAAAACATTTTACATGACATATCATTATTTATTACTTGGTATTTTTTAACAGTAAAATATATCAATACAGTCAACTTTGAATCGAGAATAACTTAATTTGTTACAAGAATAACTACTAAAGTACAATACAAACAATTAAAATCAACTGTATGTGTGCTATAGAAATCATATTTGACTTTTTGTTCGAGGATCTAATTTTGATATTATATAATACCATTATTAAAGTGGATATTGATTTGGATAAAATTTCAAAGACATTACACTCACGCGTATTATATATTATTATACGAGTACATCAATTTTAAACATTAATATAATTATGGATCATTTTCATAACTCGGGTAAATAATATCAATGAAACACGAATGATCTACAGACAAACACTATAGAAACCAGTTCTTATTGTAGATATTAAACACTAAGATACGACACCCTATACATTAATGATTGACGTCCAAAATAATGGTAATTTTAATTTTTTAATCGAGTACAATACGATTACATTATCGAATGAAGAATAATAGCAATTTCATATTTACTCGCATTTTGTAGATCAAAACCCTTTATGCAATTACATTTGGACTTATGCTTATGTATACGTTTTATTAATACTAAATTATATTTTACTTTTAAATAATGTGTATTTAAACGTAGTAATTGAGTAATAATAGACAAATTAGTTGTCCGTTAAATGTCTTAATCACTAGAGTAAATCTACTCAGCAACGGACAGGTTTATAAAACGTAACTTGATATACTTGTCAAACTACATAATAGTATGAACACCATGCACGTGTATGCTATTATAAGATTTGTTAATACAAACGTGTAATAGGAAAGTTTAATTTATAAATGGCACGTAACCGCATTAAAATTTAATTAGATTAAAAATCGTACCTAATCGTTTATTTCATTTATATATTGTAAAATTATTAACATTTTTGAAACATTCAATATAATTTAATATAATGTAATCAAAATACCATTTCATGTTTTAAACAATATAAATATATTTATTGTTTACCAGTGCATAAGAATACTTATTAGATGAAATATATATTTTCATTTGAAATTTTATCAAATGAAACAATAAATAAATACCATAAATGTTTTTATCAACATTCTGGATTGAGAAAGCATTTTTATTTTTTCTGTAAACATATCTCAGATTCCATTTACTAGATAAACTGTTTTTATAATTTTGAATAATAAACCTTTTTATGTCTTATGATATATATATAATTATTACTAAATATATCGATGTCATAACTATTGTTATACTGGCTTGTATTTAATATATTCTATAAGTTTATCATAAAAAGTTTTCTTATATTTTTTTTTTTTCAAAAAACCCGTACATAAGATTTACTTTTTTTGTATTTTGTATTTTTAGGCTGTAAAAGTTTTTTCAAGAGAAGCGTCCGTCGGAATCTCACGTATTCTTGTAGGGGCAGCCGGAACTGTCCTATCGACCAACACCACCGGAACCAATGTCAGTACTGTCGGCTGAAAAAGTGCCTGAAAATGGGCATGCGCAGAGAAGGTAAGAAGAAAAAATAAAATAAAATCATAAATTACCGTCCCACGACGCTGATAATTATTACGTTATAATGTATAATAATAATAATAATAATAATAATAATAATGATGATGATGATGATGAGGAAGAGAGAGAAGGATCGAATGAGATGGACTGAGGCGGGTTGGGAACGAGAGACGCGCGAGTAACGTGAATAGCAATTATAATTGAGATCCGACCGTCGATATAAAGACACCGTGTCAAATCGCCGGTCTATTGGTCGTCCTCGACTTCGCCATCGTCGTCGTCGTCGCCGTCGTTTTTGTCGTGTATGGGTTTCAATCAAATTGTTTCGATGAATAATAATAATAATAATAATAGTAATAACACAACGTGAGAACTAAAAAGTACTATATGTGCGCACGCATAGCGGTGAAATGTGCACATAGTCAGTGGTTTATTGGTAAATATATTTAAGGGTATACGCATTGAAAAAATATAGATATTAACATTGAAAAAATTTTCTCACTACGTTCGAATAAATTAAATTAATCCCTAATGCGTTAATAACTTCTAATAAGGAAAAAAAATAAAACACCACAAACCCCGGGGCCCGTACGTCCGAGAGGACCCATCATTTCGGCCTTGTATACAATGTTTTTACTGTACCAAAGCATGTACAAGTGGTTTTGGTACGTCTTGGTCAAACAATTGCAAAGGGAAGGGGTGCCGGAACCCCCGCAGCCCGGGGGCCCTTGGAAGTTCTCGCCGGCACTGCCCTTGCACATAGTGTACCTGAAAGATATACGCGCACACACGCATAAGTATCTTCCGTGTGTGTAGAGTTTATTACATGGTGCACAGGCAATGCAAGAAATTTTAGAAATATCGAAATTTTCAAGGTCGAGGATGTCATAGTCGCCCGGTGCACATCGGGTCAACGCTTCGAATGACCGTGTATACGTACGCGTTACATTATACTATCGTTTACCCCTTGCAGTACGTATATGTATACACGTGTACATTATACATAGAAAACTTTTCGACAAGTCATCATCACATCGCGTACAATTTTTTTTTTCTTTCGTTCTCTCCCCCGCAACCGTCGTACTCGTCACCTCGACGTAACCGTCTGACTGTGTACAGCACATTACACTATAACTGACTTAAAATATATATATATATATACGATTTCACGGGTTCTCCGACAGGGAATAAGACAAAAAATAAATATATATAAACGTAGATTCATATAATACACACACCTCCTACATGAGATTTGTTTTTTTACACCCGTAGAAATGTACACCAATAACTGCAGTCCGACCGCTACGGTCCGCTGGAATCCGTCCGCGTCGGACGAGCGCAATATCCGTGAAATCGTCCGATTCAAGAAGGTCGGCGACGGGAGTTTGTGTTAACGAGGGAAGAAGTGGCCGCGACTAAACGTGCCCGACGCCCGTCGCACTAATCAGTATTTTCATATAATACATTTCCCCCCCCTCCTTGGTAACCCGCAAGTGCCGTGTCCACGTACGCCAAAAACTATGATAATACCACCTTCTAAATAAGTTTCACATCGCGCCACTGCCGAATTCGAACGCGCGCACATTCGAACAAATAATACACGAAAACTCGTGATCCAAATAATATTCTGGTTTTTTTTTTTTCTTTTCTGAAGTGCCGCAACACGTCCCGATTATTATATCTAGAAACGATGACAATGAACGTTATAATATCATTACCGGGACGCCACCGTCACATAATTGTACGTTTCTGACCGTCGTTAACTATTTGTTTCGACCTTAATCCGGACAACAGAAGCGGCGCACACGATATTTTAAACTAGCGAAAAAAAGGCACACAATCCAAAACCTTTAAAAGTTGTGAGTATGTATGGCACCACGTTTTGTTGAAAATATTCAAGCGGTAAATACCGTGATCGTCGTAGTCGGTACGTCACGCGAAACCGGACCAAACGTTCACACGCATGCAATATGTATTCAAAAACTGTTTAACTAGGATGTGAGGGAAACGCGTGGCGGCCTTGAAAATGAAATGCGCACACGTCATTTATACTTTTTTTTTTCTCTGCTATCCTCTCGTCGAGCGTTGTACACACAATTACACGTATCTGCTCATTTCTTCTATCCGCTTTCCGAGCACGACCGACGTTCTTCTCCACGAAACCAATTACGAAATGATATTTTTACAATTATAATACATATATTATTATTAAAAAAACATACACAAGATGATCTCCTGGAGAAAGGAGCGGCTCCAGGGGAGGGAAGGTTAGGTGTTGGGCTAACTCTAAGCCCGTACCGTATTTATAAAAAAATTTATATTGTTAACAAAAAATGCATATTATATGGACTACTATACGACACGCACAAGTATGTAAATAGAGTCATAGAGGTACGACGGTGTATACGATGTACATGCTATCTATACTATGAAGAACCAATAAGGCTATAAATAAACTATATTAATATAAAATATACTATGGTGGTACTATGATATTATTATTTTATAATGCTCAAAACATGAATTGCGTAGCACACATTTCTGTACGGCCTAAATCGTTGTTTTCTTTTTACTATAAGATTTTGTAAAATTATAACTTTCCCTCCCCCCTAACCAAGGCTCTGGAGCCGCCCCTGGCCGAAGATAAACATACATTTTGAGCGCGCAAAAAAGCGAAGACGATGCGTGTGTACCGTAAACACATGAAAGGTTTGTGAAAACAGACGCGTACTCGTACGATAAACATAACCCGTTAATTGCTCGAGTCACGCAGCCCGTAAACACACGTACGCGTGTTCATATTACGAGTGCTAACACGCGCTAGTGCGACAGGCGACGTCGGCTATCTAATCCGTCGCGTCGTGGACTTTTACTCGATTCGCGCACGGGACCGGTTGCTCTCCCTCGGGCGACCGTCGCGGCTGATATCACTCCTACGCCGCAGCAGTACCTTACCGGCTTCTGTGCGCGCCACCCGAGCAGCCAATAGTCCGTACGCGTTCTACAAAGATAATGTAGTAATAACGATAATTATACATTCCATTCGGCGAACATTAAACGTTTATACCGACGGTCACCACGTGCGCACATACATAGATATCATTTTATCGAACCGAATTATCCATAAATCGTGTTTATAGGTATTCGAAAACGAAAACCAAAGCTGTATTCACTGCGCAGACACTGAGTTAGACGAAGCCAATATTATTATAATATTATCGTACGATTTTTTTCCTTTTTTTTTTTATTTTCTATTCGTATACGGGTAGGTGTACATTTGAATCTCTCGCGTGCCGGTATTGTAGACATTTCTCTTGAGTATTATTACTTTTTTTTTTCCACATTGGTCGTGACAGAAAAAATGTATTACGTCATCGTCCGATCGACCGCCGCCGCCGCTGCAACTCCACAACCGCCGTCGTGGCGGCGCGTATTCGTTGGATGAATCGTTTATCGTGCGGCGTATCTCATTTTGTTGTATCTCTCTCTGGCACACGCACTCTACCCTTTTTATCTCGCGATATACCTATAGTATAATATTCGCTAAAAACCAACCGGCGCGGACTAGTTACGTTATTGCTTATGTTATTATTATTTACCATTACTACTATTGTACGCTGCAGCGTTGTGCAACCGCAGACGTCTCGTTAATCACTCAGCCAATATAATATTATATTATATGTGTATGATTCCTATAACTGAAATATTAATGCGTGGGTGATATTTCGTTTATACCGTTACAAAATATTAGGTATATGATTTCTAAACCACGATCCTCACGGTACGAGTCATACAAACTCGGTCAACAAATTACAAAAACAATTACACGTCGTTATTATTGTTGTTATCGATATTATTTTCGTTATATTTCATCTTGTTCGAGTGCATTTTTTATTTATCATTTTTTACCACTTTCATACTACGCTGCTACTACTCGGAATCCGGAAACACGTGTTTACGTACATCTTCAAATGGTCCCGTTAGTGTTTCACCACGCCAAACATATTATTTCATTCTGAAATTTCGCAATTACAGTTACGATCCGAATGCGTATCAGCTGCAGTACACGAAGGTACAAAAAAAAATAATCGTACCGTTGAAATGTAATATTATTACAGTGTATTCAGACGTGGTTCGCGTATCTACGCCTATACTTGGTCTCTTAACAGATTGATACATGTAACGCGCAGGTGACTTGCAGAATATTTATAATATAATGCAGTGGCCTATGGTAGAAATGCGTTTGGCGCTGCCGAGAACACGCGAAGCGGATCAACTCGTTTTGCAATCTTTAATGCACAATTATGTACGTTCGGAGGACTAATGTTATTTTGTTTTCAATTCATTGCGATAAAAGCGTAATATTGCACAATTACGTGGTATGTGCATACTATAAATAGGTGCGTACAACGCGCGATGTCCATAAATTTCGGCCGCCGCCGATTCGCTGGTGGATTCCGTTTGTAATAAGCGCGGAAGAATTTTTTTTTTTTTAAAAAGCAACAAACTCGCCGAAGGCCCTGGGGCGGCGAATACGACATCGTCCGTCGCTGGAGACAAATATCATTGAATATTTATTGTAATCCTCTTGGAAATAAATTGCGTATACTCATACACACACACACACTCACACGCATATACATATCCAAAAGACGACGTTTTGTACGTATATTATCTGATCAGTGAAATCTTTTGTGTGCCAATCGATGGTATTACCTAGTCATTCGGAGTCGTTTTACATTCAAAAACATCATTATATCATATTAACGTTAATGCTGCGTTGTAGGTGTATTTATAATAATCAACGATAACAAGATGACTCCAAAGTCCACAAGGACTTTTGTCATGTGCGAAGAAGATAATAATACCTATATTTATTTGGTGAAAAGCGATACAAACGTCCTGTTCCGGTTCATTAAACACTTGTTCCTCGCGCGGTAAACGATAACAAAATGCGAACTCAAACAAACAGGAACATAATAAAATTCTGAACTTGG